TGAGGGTTTTGTTACCGGTGTAAATAAGCCTATTTGTGTGCGTGTAAATCTGGGTACTTGGTCGCATCAAAAGTTTTCGTGCTATCGAAGTGAAGTATAAACAAGTACAGTTGTGCCGACAAAGATTGAGTTGGAAAAGTTTGAGTCCTCCCACGGCTTTGGTTTGTATTATAATACAAGGAGAAAAAAAACACAACTAAGAACAAAAATATGAACGAGCATCGCAAACGTCTAGTGGCAACTGGTCAAGCAGTACTCACGTTCAGGCAGACGTCTGGATCCCGTGACCGCTGGCTGCAGAAAGCCAGACCAATTAGACACGACCAGGGAAACCTTGGGCTGACATATGACACGGTGGGGGTGTCGTTACATGGGGCAGAAGGTCACCACTTCATGGTTTACAAGTTATCGAGTCACCACCCCAGGGTTTACAGGCTACTGAGTCACCACCCCAGGGTTTACAGGCTACTGAGTCACCAACCCAGGGTTTACAGGCTACTGAGTCACCACCCCAGGGTTTACAGGCTACTGAGTCACCACCCCAGGGTTTACAGGCTACTGAGTCACCAACCCAGGGTTTACAGGCTACTGAGTCACCAACCCAGGGTTTACAGGCTACTGAGTCACCAACCCAGGGTTTACAGGCTACTGAGTCACCAACCCAGGGTTTACAGGCTACTGAGTCACCACCCCAGGGTTTACAGGCTACTGAGTCACCAACCCAGGGTTTACAGGCTACTGAGTCACCACCCCAGGGTTTACAGGCTACTGAGTCACCACCCCAGGGTTTACAGGCTACTGAGTCACCAACCCAGGGTTTACAGGCTACTGAGTCACCAACCCAGGGTTTACAGGCTACTGAGTCACCAACCCAGGGTTTACAGGCTACTGAGTCACCAACCCAGGGTTTACAGGCTACTGAGTCACCAACCCAGGGTTTACAGGCTACTGAGTCACCAACCCAGGGTTTACAGGCTACTGAGTCACCAACCCAGGGTTTACAGGCTACTGAGTCACCAACCCAGGGTTTACAGGCTACTGAGTCACCAACCCAGGGTTTACAGGCTACTGAGTCACCAACCCAGGGTTTACAGGCTACTGAGTCACCAACCCAGGGTTTACAGGCTACTGAGTCACCAACCCAGGGTTTACAGGCTACTGAGTCACCAACCCAGGGTTTACAGGCTACTGAGTCACCAACCCAGGGTTTACAGGCTAATGAGTCACCAACCCAGGGTTTACAGGCTACTGAGTCACCAACCCAGGGTTTACAGGCTACTGAGTCACCAACCCAGGGTTTACAGGCTACTGAGTCACCAACCCAGGGTTTACAGGCTATTGAGTCACCAACCCAGGGTTTACAGGCTACTGAGTCACCAACCCAGGGTTTACAGGCTACTGAGTCACCAACCCAGGGTTTACAGGCTACTGAGTCACCACCCCAGGGTTTACAGGCTACTGAGTCACCAACCCAGGGTTTACAGGCTATTGAGTCACCAACCCAGGGTTTACAGGCTATTGAGTCACAACCCCAGGGTTTACAAGTTATTGAGTCACCAACCATGCATGTAATTGTGTCACCACTCCACTTATGTGTATAGGCGTGTGTAATTGTGTCACCCATAACCAGTTAGATGTGTTACCAGACTAACATTCTACTGAATATGTTAGGACAAGCAAGCCTTCACATAGAAGACACGACATTGTCGTTAAACATTTAATCACAAGCTTTCGAGTGGGTGGATTGTTGGTCAGGGTGCAGCAACCAATACAATAACATTCACATCGAGAATTCGGCAGTCACAAGTAACCTACAAGTCTGCACACTATGGCCTAAGTTTGAGCTTTGTGTGTTTAATGCATCACTGCTTATCGATTGATCCTAAGATAATGGGTGCAAAACATTTGGCCGATGGTAAGCACATTAAGAAAACCTAACACAAACCAAGAGAAGTAAAAGTTGATGTCAATTGACTGTATATACTTACAGTTGATGTTCTATATATAATCCTACACTTGACAGGCGTGTGGGTGACTGCTCCAGTCATATTACTCGATCCTAGTCGAGTGACTGCTTCAGTCATATCCTAATTGTGACTGCTTCAGTCATATCCTAATTGTGACTGCTTCAGTCATATCCTAACTGTGACTGCTTCAGTCATATCCTAATCGAACACAGAGATCGATATCTAGCAGAGATTAAGACACAAGTCCCCTCTGATAGCAGTCGGACAAGAGGAGTACGGTAAGAAACACATGCCACTATCTTGTGTACACCAGTCGATACCTCCACCCTGCCCAATCTACATGCCACTATCTTGTGTACACCAGTCGATACCTCCACCCTGCCCAATCTAAGTCCCGTCCAGGTGACCTAGATGCAGGACCAGGTAAGGTGGTTTGTTTGTTGCCAGCAGCTAGAGGGGATTTGTTTCACTCATCAAGGGGATCGCGTCACGTGAGTGAGTAGCTAACACAGGGGGCGCTCCACACAGGTGGGTTCTCTATGGGTGTCTTATGTAAGTCTAATACAGGGGGCGCTCCATACAGGTGGGTTCTCTACGGGTGTCTTATGTAAGTCTAACACGGGGGGGGGGGGGCGCTCCACACAGGTGGGTTCTCTACAGGTGTCTTATACAAGTCTAACACGGTGGGCGCTCCATACAGGTGTATTCTCTATGGGTGTCTTATACAAGTCTAACACAGGGGGGGGGGGGGCGCTCCACACAGGTGGGTTCTCTACGGGTGTCTTATGCAAGTCTAACACGGGGGGGGGGGGGGCGGGGGGCTCCACACAGGTGGGTTCTCTACGGGTGTCTTATGCAAGTCTAACACAGGGGGGGGGGGCTCCACACAGGTGGGTTCTCTACGGGTGTCTTATGCAAGTCTAACACAGGGGGGCGGGGGGCTCCACACAGGTGGGTTCTCTACGGGTGTCTTATGCAAGTCTAACACAGGGGGGCGCTCCATACAGGTGGGTTCTCTACGGGTGTCTTATGCAAGTCTAACACGGGGGGGGGGGGGGGCGGGGGGCTCCACACAGGTGGGTTCTCTATGGGTGTCTTATACAAGTCTAACACAGCCGAGGGGGTGGCATCGCTCCAAGGTTAACTCTAAGATTACAAGGATTATCTAGAGCCCATTTAATCTGAGACAAGTTTTCAGGGAAAATTTGTGTAGTTTCAAATTGTTATCGGCTATGAATCCCCAGTAAGGGTGGGGGATGGGGAGGGATGGTGTGATTGTTTTCGATCTAATTGGAGGGGGGTGTTATTATTATTGTTTTCGATCTAATTGGAGGTGGCGGGGTGTTAGTGTTATCTCTAAATGAATAAACTATACTAAAAATAAAGGTTAACGTGAAGAAACAAAAGAACTCAACATAGAGCTGGTCTATCATAAACTGGTGAAATCACAAGTCCACTATTGTATACAAAGTACAAGTCTGACATAACCACGCGACTAGACTGAATGGGTTGGTGCTAATGCTTATTTTTAATAGTGACCCACCAAATATAAGACGTTGTCTAAGGTACGTGTTATAAATGGCCATTTTGGCTAAATTCTAAAGTACATTATTATTATAAATGGCCATTTTGGTTAAATTCTAAAGTACATTATTGTTATAAATGGCCATTTTGGCTAAATTCTAAACTACATTATTGTTATAAATGGCCATTTTTGCTAAATTCTAAAGTACATTATTGTTATAAATGGCCATTTTGGAAGTGGATCAATGACAAGATAAGAGCTGATGAAGGAAGGGGAGTGAACCGTGTCCCACTAATTACAAAACGGACTAATTCCTCAGATAATTACAAGATTACATTCCTCGGGGCTTATCTAATCACTGTTTACACATGCAGAGAATTCAAATAAAAAAGCGAATCGTAGATTTGTAGAGCCAAGACATCAGGACTGAGCTACGTATCTGAAGAAATATGTCAACTATGTCGCACCTTTACCTTTCTTATCGAACAAACCGTGACTGACCATATCTCAGGTATTTCTCCCTTATGTGCACAAGCTGAAACTGGACCAACTCTCTACCATCTTTTAATTGACCCACACACGAGAGTGGGCTAACATATCAACACTAGAAGAATGGGGCTGAGTTGAAGGCTGGAATCCTGATGCTAAACGAACTTGTTAAAAGGGACCGTCCAACACCAAAGGAAACAACAGTGGTAGTCTGGGCTGTAGTTGGGTTAGTTGTACATGAGCAGAGTTAGTACGTTAATGGTGATAGAAAAACATGCGTCCATACTTAGAGGCAATCTGTAGCTGATCTTACACCGCATACGGCTGGCGGTAAATCCTCACAAGAAAAACATCCTCGCCACGTGACCTACACGGGAAACCCTCGCCTTTTATAAGGGGTTTGACACACTCCCCACCCACCCCTCCCAGCATTCTCCTCTGTCGTTTGTCAACACGGATGTCAGACCGGCAAAACGAAGGTTCACATTTATAAAATGGCAAATTGTTTTTGTCTTCCTTGCAGCAGAAAACTGTCAAGTGTGGGGTGAATAAGATATCACGACACAAACGGCAGCTAGCACGAGACGTGGATTCATTGATCCAGGAAATCCATATCACAACTCACAAGTGAGAACAACAAGTAACATTGTCAGGCTATTTATAGGCCGGCTAATTAGCTCTTGTGACGGCGGGAAGGACGTATGGATTGCTTGCCGTGCAGTTGGGGTTTAGAAATATGGGTGACCTGTGATAGAGGTCAGATGCAGAGTTCAAGGTACCCGCTATACAGGTAAACTAAACGGTATTATCCAAAGTACAGGTAAGAGATAACATTTGTAACCCAGAGGCTAAATATCATGTACCCCCCTGCTTCCACACCCCCCCCCATGATAAACATTTTAAGTTATTTTGATGGCCTTTTAAAAATAGGTAGATCTATATCATTTTTTTAAACAATGGCACTGTTGGCATATCGCTCAATGTTACCTAATGTAAATAAACACGTGAAAGAAACTTACCCTCCTCTAACATTGTCGGATTGAAGTCTGGCTCCATGGATGTACAGTATCCCAGAACTTGAAAGTGTACCGGTCAGGCTAGCGTTCATCACGTGCTCCGTGTACAGAACACAAGTCTCAGACTAGCAAACATGTTTTTCTCACTGATAAATCTGGTCCGTCAGCCAATCACTACGATCGTTGTCTATCAGAAGGCCAGTACGTTTGACAATGAATTGATTAGACCAATAGCTAGGCGCGGTGCGACAGTGTAGCACCAGGGAATGATGCAAACATTGGACTCAAACTGTAACACTACGGGAATAACAACCACGTGCTAATGTAGCGCCGAGAGAAGGACCAGCACTTTCCACTGTACCGAAGTAACACCCTATCTTTAAAACAATATCTAGCTCGAATATTTCTAACAGTACTCACAGTGTAGACCTACTTGTCGGCCAAATCTAAAAACCACCTAACGCGTAAACAATTTTTTTTTTAAATCACAGTAATAGTATTGCAACTCGATTGTTTTTCTTCGAGGTATGAAAGTTTCCACACAGCACTGAATGTGACAAATAAGACACGAAGATCAGCAGCGGGTACTTGAGTCATTAAGACAGACCAGAAACCCGGTGTAAACAAGCGCCAACAACACATAGACCAGAGGAGCGACAACACTCGTGTGACTGGTGTAGTCGGGACAAGTGTTCACAGACTCACGTATTTGGAGATAGGAGCAAGGTTAAGGTCAGCACTAGTCAACCAACGCGGTGGTCCAACGGGCCCTACTTTCTACCTGTCGCAGTGATGCAATGCTGGGGCGGCGGTGATAAACATAAAAAGTTTGGCTAGATCAGCAAGATGTTATTGTCATTAGATAAGAGTGCAAGCACGTCTAGGGTAGGTTCAACTGTCATTAAGGCTGAGAGGGAACTCATTGCCTCAAGGGCTCGTCCATAGAGAATATCACAACCTTTATTGGAGGGGGAGGGGACGGACTTATATGAAGATGGAGAATTAACGAAGTAACCCTTTAAATTATTATTTTAAGTTGAGGTTTTGTTTATTTTTGGCATTAAAACAACAGGTTAATTGTAATGAAATTTCTGTTCAGAAAAAAACAATTCTTATTAAAATTATTAGGCCTATTTTCTTTAAATATATAATAATGAACCACTAATAATTAAATAACCAAAAAAAAGGAAGTGTGGGTCACTGTTTTAATTGTATTAGGCCCCAATGTATTCAAAACATTATAATTGTGCACCAATTTAAAGTTAAATCTTGGTCACAGATTAAGTGCTGGGCCAGGGGTTATCATATTCGCACCACTACTTGACAGTTTAGCTCCTAAATCTTCATTAATTTAAAGCAGGGGTCTCCAAACTTTTCAGTCCGAGGGCCGCATTTACTATCAAATTTCAGTTCGGGGGCCAGTTTTTTCCAGGCATGTCTTTGATTTTTCTGGGCAAAGTTCCTCAGCCATCACCAACAAACGTTTTTTCAGTGGACAAAAAGATCTCCGCGGGCCAGATGAGAGGACCTCGCGGGCCGCATCTGGCCCGCGGGCCGTAGTTTGGAGACCCCTGATTTAAAGGTTAAATATTGGTCACAGATTAAGTGCTGCGCCAGGGGTTATCATACTTAACATAAACAGCAATGTTAACTGTACAGAAAAAGATGTTCTACCAGTAGTTGACAGTAACTGGAGCCATACAATACATCAGCAATGTTAACTGTACAGAAAAAGATGACAGTTATTGGAGCCATACATCAGCAATGTTAACTGTACAGAAAAAGATGACAGTTATTGGAGCCATACATCAGCAATGTTAACTGTACAGAAAAAGATGACAGTTATTGGAGCCATACATCAGCAATGTTAACTGTACAGAAAAAGATGACAGTTATTGGAGCCATACATCAGCAATGTTAACTGTACAGAAAAAGATGACAGTTATTGGAGCCATACATCAGCAATGTTAACTGTACAGAAAAAGATGACAGTAACTGGAGCCATACATCAGCAATGTTAACTGTACAGAAAAAGATGACAGTTATTGGAGCCATACATCAGCAATGTTAACTGTACAGAAAAAGATGACAGTTATTGGAGCCATACATCAGCAATGTTAACTGTACAGAAAAAGATGACAGTTATTGGAGCCATACATCAGCAATGTTAACTGTACAGAAAAAGATGACAGTTATTGGAGCCATATATCAGCAATGTTAACTGTACAGAAAAAGATGACAGTTATTGGAGCCATACATCAGCAATGTTAACTGTACAGAAAAAGATGACAGTTATTGGAGCCATACATCAGCAATGTTAACTGTACAGAAAAAGATGACAGTTATTGGAGCCATACATCAGCAATGTTAACTGTACAGAAAAAGATGACAGTTATTGGAGCCATACATCAGCAATGTTAACTGTACAGAAAAAGATGACAGTTATTGGAGCCATACATCAGCAATGTTAACTGTACAGAAAAAGATGACAGTTATTGCAGCCATACATCAGCAATGTTAACTGTACAGAAAAAGATGACAGTTATTGGAGCCATACATCAGCAATGTTAACTGTACAGAAAAAGATGACAGTTATTGGAGCCATACATCAGCAATGTTAACTGTACAGAAAAAGATGACAGTTATTGGAGCCATACATCAGCAATGTTAACTGTACAGAAAAAGATGACAGTTATTGCAGCCATACATCAGCAATGTTAACTGTACAGAAAAAGATGACAGTTATTGGAGCCATACATCAGCAATGTTAACTGTACAGAAAAAGATGACAGTTATTGAAGCCATACATCAGCAATGTTAAATTCTCCAGTGACTTGGAGGATAACAGCCTATACAAGTTTAATGACCTCTTTGTCCACAACTATACACCTGTTCTCCCCACACTTGTCACCAATAACTAGCCTTGACATGTCAGATGTAATAGAGGAAAATGACGAGCATCTTAAGGAGAAAAGGTGTGGTATGAGAGAGAAGTAACTGGCCAGTGGCTGGGTGCCATTGATACTAAATGACACAGTACAACTACATCACTGCATTACAAAGGATATCTCTAACACAGCTTGTTCATGATCTCAAAGTATTTCAGACTTCTCCCGATCAATGAAATTAATGGAGTATAAATTGTTGGAAGTTAGCCTTTCAATTACTTCATGGGTCTTCTGGTGCAGTAACTTCAAATATTTACTCTAGCTTGATTTATTTGTGCCAAGATGTCCGTCCAATGGACAAGTCATAAACACGGCCTTTAAGGAAATGACTAAAGCGGAAAGTCTCTCGATTTTGATGGCAACTACTTTATAACATACATGTCTTATGGTTCTCATGATGAAGGAGGGTTATAAAATAGATGGGAGTTAAGCTAATGAATGTACAGTTTACAGCTGGTAGAGAAAAACCCCACAATGTGTTCAGCAATTTTAAACTAAGGTATTTAGAAAATGCTATGATTGAAATAGATCTTTCTACAGTTTCCAGCAGAGGCATACAATACACAAACATTTATCTGCTTAAAGAAAACATGACTGACCATCTATCTGAATAAAGAAAATATGACTGAATGAATGCAAACAGAATTTACTGATAACCAGATTAACAGAAATAATGAATAATGCAAAATACATTATAAAAAGAAAGACAGGTCTGTCAACTGAAGACAAAATGTTTAAAAATCTTCTCTACCTTCAAAAGACGTGGTACAAGATCTTCTATACTAATACTATTGGGATATTTCCACCACCCCCACTTATATGCTGCTTATTTTTTACTTTCAGCCTTTTAAGTAATTTCACCAGTTTAAGATCACAGCTAATTTTGGTGACCAATGGCATACATTTTAAAACAATGTTTCATCCAAAATGGAGCAGAAAAAATATTTTACAATGATTAAGGAATAAAAACCTTAAAATTTTAAAAATATATTAAAATTGAAAGCACACGGTCAGCTTGAGTTATGTAACCAAAAAAGTTATCTCAAAATCTCTTTCCATTAAACTATGTAACACTTGCCAGCTATATGAGTGTTATAGAATAAACTACATAAAACAAAAAGAAATTCAAATAAAAATCAAACAGCAAAAATAAGTATGTAATATTTAAACCTGATATCTACTGACAACTTCATCTTGAATTTTTTTCTTTCGGGTTACATATACTGTCTTCAAACGAATACATTTTCTTCGCTCTTCATACAGGTGCTCTTTTAAATCCAGCTTGAAATTTCAACTTTTGCAACCAAAAAATAAATAAATTATGTTATTTTAAGTTTAAGCCAATAATGGCTATTCTTTAGACAGGTTAGAAATTTTAATAACAGAGCGATTATCAAAGGAAAATTACTGGTTCTTTAAATACACTTGTTGAGCACTACAATATTGTATCAATATTAATTTGTAAAGGTAGTGATAGGGTCAGGATCAGTGCTAGGGCCAGGGTTGATCAAAAAGGAATACTAACAAAAATATTTTTAGTATCAAGACACAAAAAATAAATACATTTGGGGAATTGCAGCTGACTTTAGATTCACAGTGCACTCCCCCCCCCCCCCCCTAATTTCTTTACAGGAAGAAATTAGTACTTAGATTTTACTAGTTACTTAGAAATGAGAATACTAACTAATTAAAATGAACAGCATTTCTCTAAATACTAATGCGATTTGCGCCAACAAATGGCAATGAATAGGCCTATCTGGTAATAATTTCATTATTTAGCCTATCTAAAACTTAAATAATAGTTATTTACTAGCCTAACGACTTATAGTTATTAGGCCTAATAGAAAATAATTTGGCTATTAGGCTAGTTAATATTGTTATAATGCCTAGGCTAATTATTAATTAACATTTAAAAATAACTGTTGCTAACATTAGCCTATAACTTTACAAACAATGCAGATCTAGTATGTAGGCCCTAGGCCCTTTTACTATTTGCATTTGTTTGTCTAGAGTCTAGTCTAAAACTTATAGATTTTTATCTAAAAAAGATTAGGCCTAAATTAAAAACATAAAAAAAGATTTAGCGTATTTTATTAGCCGCTTCTGGTTCACCTCTGGTTGAGCGTATTTTATTATAAACACAATCAAAACTCACAAAAACGTTAGTAAAAACCCAGGATTAGAGCTATGTTAGGAAAAAACCAGGATTAGAGCTAGATCTACTTATTTTTTTAAATGAATTTTTGAATGTAAGTTTTAATTAGAAAAGGTAAAAAAACATAAAAAAGCATTAGGATAGTTCCAATTAAATAGCCTGTGATGGTCAGTGTAATCGTCAGCTGGAGAAAAATCCCTACACATTGAGGGTTTACCGTGAGTCCACATTGACACTAATTTATCAGCATACGTCATAGCTTAGGCAATTCCTATTTGAAATTGTGGTGGTCTCAGTTTTGGGGGTCATTGTGAGTTCATAAACTTTTATTTATAGTATCATGCATGGGAGATACCTGCCTGTAACAATACAAACTTATTAACTTAACCACCTTGCAATTGTGAGTTTTGTACTTTACCCATTGCCATTAAAATCTTTACTGACACACGAACATAGCACATTCAATATTCCAGATTTGGATTTTTCTCAAGTTTTGACAAGAGTGGGAAAATGTTTACACGGTGTCCGATAATGGAATCTTCTTTAAAAAAAGGGGTGTTAGGTAACTGGTTTTTAACTAAATGCCATGCACACAGAGTTGGCTAAAGTCAAACCCTGTCCCTAACCCTAACCCCAACACTGGTCCTACCATACGCCTAACCCTAATTTCTAACCATAAAATTAGTCGAGATTACAATACTACTAATAACCCAACACCCCTTTTTTACAGAAGATTCCATTATCGGACACTGGTATCTATAATTAATTATCCTAAATGCCAAATGGCAAACATTGCCGCAAACATTAATTATTAACAAGATAAAAGACGTAAAAGTCACCTCAAAACTTACTAAACTTTGGTAAATTAAAGCGATAAAATATATTCTAGATCTAGATTAATAATTTAGTAACACTAGATCTTGTAGTAGGGGCATATAACCGCATATAAAAATATATATATAGTTATTTAAT